TGTATGTTCCTTGGATTTCTATATGAATTTTAGGATCATTTTGTCAATTTCTGAGAAAAAGAGCAGTGGGAATTCTGATAGGAATTGCATTGAATATATAGCTTAATTTGAGAATATTGCCATCTTAACAATATTAAATTTTTCAATCCATGACACGGGATGTCTTTTCATTTATTTAGATCTTCTTTAATCTTTTCCAACAATGTCTTGTTGCTTCCAGTGTGTAAGATTTATACGGCTTTCATTGAATATATTGCTAAGTATTTTAATTTTTATGATGCTATTGTAAATGGAATTGTTCTCTTAATTTCATTTTAGGACTGATCATTGCTGGTGTATAGAAATACAACTGTTTTTTGCATATTGATCTTGTGTTCTGCAACACTGCTCAGGTCACCTACTAGTTCTAATGTTGTTGTTATGTGCCCTTGAGTCGGACCCGACTCATAGCAACCTCTCCTTGGGTTTCTGAGGCAGTATTACCATGGAAGTTGATTGCCCAACCTTCCTTCCAAGGGGTGGCTGGTGGATTTGAACTGCCAGCCTTCTGGTTAGCATTCAGATGCCTTAGGCCCTATGCTACTAGAGCTCCCACTAGTTCTAATAGTTAGTATTTTGTTTTTGTGTGTGTGTGTGATTTTTTAGGATTTTATATGCAAAAATCATGTTGTCTGTAAATATAGTTTTACTTCTTCCTTCCCAATCTGGATGTCTTTTACTTAACATTCATCTTGTCTAGTTGCCCTCAAGAGAACCTCCATGACAATGTTGAACAGAAGTGGCAAGCGTCCATGTTCTTGTCTTGGTCATAAAGGGAAAGCAGACATCTTTCATCATGAAGAATGCTGTCAGCTCTGAGTTTATCCCAAATGCCCTTTGTCAGGCTGAGGACAATTTCCCTCTACTTCTATTTTGTTCAGGGTTTTCTCTATCAAGGTGTTAGATTTTGTCAAATGCTTTTTTGTGTGTCTACTGAAATGATCATGTCATTTTTGCTTTTTATTCTATTACAATGTTACATGGTTGATTTTTTGCATGTCAAACCAACCTTGCATTCCTGAGATAAATCCCACTTGGTCTTTGTAGGTAACCCTTTCCACAGGTTGCTGGATTCAGTGCTGGCATTTTGTGGGGATATGTGCATCTATATCCCTAAGGGCTATTGGTCTGTAGTTTCCTTTCCTTATGATGTCTTTGCTGTTGGTAACTGCATGATGCTAGCCTCACAGATGAGCTGGAGATAAAGCTTGCCAGGAGTGCTGGTGGAACTCATGGAAAAGATGTAGAGTTTGCTATTCAAGAAGAAGTGAGTCTGACCCCACTGCTACCCTGTTGTACTACAAAAGGCCCAGCTCCTGCAAAGTCAATCCATAGAGAAACCCCTGATGACAAAACTGCCCCCCAACTTCCCCCCACTCCCTGCAGAGCTCCGCTTAGCCTCCCTTCTGAGCGAGCAGCACACAGCCTATGTCCAGCCAGCACTTGAGGACCTCCTCGGGGCCAGACTGGGCCACTGGGGTGGGGCCAGCATCCTCTGCAGTTTTGCAGGGGCTGTTCTGGGTGGGAGGAGTGGGGGAGCTGGGACTGCGTCAAGTGACGCCGCCTCCACCGAGGGGCACTGAGGAGTATCTGCCTCTGCCCAGAGGTTGTGGGAGGATTCCCCAAGCAGGCGACCCCAGAGCTCGGCCTTGGAAAAGGAGTATTGGTGCTGTGCAGAGGAGGGAAGGGAATCCTGGGCAGGGGCACCACCAGAGCCAAGGCCAGGAAGCAGAAAGTGTGTGCTGGGCAAGTGTCTTTCAGCCCTGCCTTGGCAGCCTGGCTCACCGGGCCTCGGTGGTGCCTGCTGGGGGCAGCCTGCCACCCACATTCAGAGACGCTGGGGGGCAAATATCCCTGGAAGGCAGCCAGACTCAATTGCCCAGGTCCCAATAGCAGGCCTGTGATACTGGCCTTGGCAGTTATTCACTGCCTGGGTCAAGTCCTATCAGTTCTGAGACTCTGGATACATTAACAGTCATTGCCTCCATTTTTACATCTGTCAAATGGAAACATTAATGGTTGCCACCTCCTTGAGGCCTACATGACAATGGGTACAAGGTCTTGGGCCAGGGCTGGCGTCCCACCTTGTGCTCAGTGGACCTTTGGCCTGTTCCCTGAGCAACTGTCCACTGGTCACTCTGCCTGGGTTCTGCTTGGTCAGCCCTCAGGCCTCCCTGGGCTCCTAGCTGGTTCACACCCATCCGCCTACCTGGTTCACACGTCCCCCCATTCACACCTGCTCTCCCTCCCCAGGCTCACACGGGTCCCTGCCCTCCCACAGCAAAGGTGAGGCACGTGTGACGTTATACAGATGACAATGCTGAGGAACATGGATGGAAGTGCAGGATGGAGCCAGGCAGCCAGACAGCGGGGCTGCCAGGCTCTGGGGCGTCTCTGCCACGCCCCCCCCCTCCTGAACTCAGGGCTTCCCAGCATGCCCTGCAGCAGCGCTCCTCCCGTGGCCTCCCCTGGGCCTACTTCTCTGGAATCTGGTCTGGTCAGAGCCTTCTACCTTATCCCGGATGCCCACCCCGTCCAGCTGGGAAGTCGGCCGGAGAAAGCGGGAGTCGCCGCCTCCCTACTCCTCGGCTGCCTGCCCCCTGTCCCCTCACCGTGCTTCCTTCTTCCCTCTGAAGCCCTGGGCTCTCCATCTCTGCAGGGGGTGGAAGCCCCGCCTACCAGGAGGCTATGGCGGAAGGGGCAGGCCTGGTGGAGGCAGAGCCCTGTGCTCCACAGGACACGTGCCCCCTTGCCTGCTGTGACACCTGGTCCGAGCGCACGTGTGGTTCTGTGCTCAGTGGCACACTATGTCCCGACCCGCAGTGGGAATGACAGGGGAGCAGTTTATGGTGTAATGGCCACAGAAAGGGCAGGAGAACGCAGGGCCACCCTTCTGGTAGCATGTGATGCCACCCACAAGCCCACTGTGGTCAATTCCCCATTGCTAAATACCCCATAGGGTTTCCAAGGCTGTAATCTTTAAAGACCTCTTGAAAGTGGGTGTAGTACTTAAGGCATTTGGCTGCTAACCAGAACGGTGGTGGTTCAAACCCACCAGCCACTCTGTGGAAGGAAGACTGGACAATCTACTTCCATAAGGATTTACCACCTCGCCAAAGGGGGTCGCTATGAGTTGGAATTGACTCCATGGCAGTGAGTTTGTTTCTTTTGGTTTGGTTTGAAAATGTTGAAAAGGCAAAGATGTCACTTTGAGGACTAAGGTGTGCCTGATCCAAGCCATGATGTTTTCAATCACCTTAAATGCATGTGAAAGCTACACAATGAATAAGGAAGACTGAAAAAGAATCAATGCATTTGAATTATGGTGTTGGCGAAGGATACTGACTACACCATGCACTGGCAGAAGAATGAACCAATCTGTCCTGGAAGCAGTGCAGACGGACGCTCTGTGGAAGTGAGGATGGGGAGACTTCTCACCTACTCTGGCCATGTTGTCAGGAGGGACCAGTCCCTGGAGAAGAACGTCGTGGTAGGTAAAGAGAGGGTCAGTGAGAAAGGGCAAGCCCTCAACAAGATGGACGGACACAGTGGATCCAACAAAGGGCTCTTGAGAGGACTGGGAGGCTGGCGCGGGACCGGGCGTAGGACCGGGAAGTGTCTCCTTCTGTTCACATCAGCTCGCTATGGGCTGGAACGGACTTGACGGCACCCGACAACCACAATTACGGAAGCTGACGCTACGTCTTCCCCTGGAGCTGGTAACTGCACGCTCAGCCACGGTGCCACCAGGGCACACGGGAGACGGCCACAGTGTTTGCTGAAGCCCAGTCAGCGCGTTCCTACCCAGGATCTGCAGTGAGCCCCGTGATCCCAGTTCAGGTCCATCAGAGACAGGCCTGGGTGAGGTGGCAAGAACAGGAGGGACCTCCTCCCCCACTAACGCTCGGAGACCAGGGGCCACTGGGAGAAGGGGACCCAGGCAGGGGGGGCACGGGCGTGGGGCGGGCTCCCCAGGGGCTAGCCTGAAGCAGGGGCACCAGGACATCAGGAGGAAAGTGTGAAAAAGAAGAGCATTTTCATGGACATCCAGGGCCGACGGCAGACGAGCGGGTGGATGGATGACGGATCCCGCAGAGCTGAGCCCAGGATTCCGCTCACCTCCGGGGCCTTGCTTGGGCCCTGAGGGGGGCTGGGAGGGGACTGTGCCCAGCAGCTGGGTCAGCGTGTCTAGGGCTGAGATGGGAGCTGGGGTCGGAGGGCCTGGGGCAGCGGAGTGTGGCCCGGGGCCCTGCCCTCCACCAGGCTCAGGGGCAGCTCTCCCGCACTGCCACACCCTCATCTTCTTCAGAACCTTCCAGAAGGGAGCAAACTGGCCACAAGGCCCTCCTAGCTGTTCACGAGGGCGGAAAGGAGAGAGCGACTCTGAAAGCCCGTCATACCCGGTCCTTCCCAAGCAAGTCACTCGGGGGTCAAGTCTGCTGCCTGCTCGGCCCTGCATGGGGCTGCTCTGTAGGGACACTGGTGGCAGTGCCCAGCCGAGGGGCCTCAGGAGCAGAGGCCACAGGACATGTACAGCAGGAGGGAGGCGGCAGGCTGGCAGAGGGCAGAGTCCAAGGGAACTGCTGACCGTCAGCCTGTGCCCACGTCAGCCTGTCGCCCAACTGCCTCTGCGAAGATCTCCTGAGGCTCTGAGGTTTTAAGCGTTTTGTCATTGGCGGTTTTTTTAAAGTCTTGAGAATCATTCCTGCAAAGACTCAGGCTTTTATTCACTTGGACTAACGAGGGTGTTGGTGTGGCATGCAGCCTTGGCCACCAAGAGACAGACCCGGCCTGGGGGTGGAGCCGGCAGCCAGGCCAGCAGCTGGGAGGGAAGGCCAGGCTTGGTTTGGGTTTGGGTTTTGTTTCTGGAGACACTCTGGGAAATTCACTAACCCCCCATCGCATGATTTTATTAGTCGTGGGACAGACCTGCGTTCCCGTCTGTCTGTGGGCACGGTCCCCTACTGGAGGAACGCCCGCAGGAAGTCGTTGTAGGATATTTTGGAAGACAGAGTCTTGTCGTAGTACTCCAAGATGTGGAAAAACTCCTCCTCAGACAGGTTGATGCTGTATTCCCTCAGGACCTGCAAGAGAGAAAAGCCGGTCAGGGGCAGGCTGCCTGGAAGGGGCCGGGCCACGGTCAACACAGAGCCCACCTCCAAAGTCAGTCCCACCTCGACGCTCGGCCACTCATACCCTCTCTCTGCCCTCACAGCCTCCTGCCTGGACAGGACATGCTCCTGGGCAGCCCGGTCCAGCAGGGTGGGTGGGAAACGGGGAGAGACAACTTGAAGATGCTGTTCTCCGTGTCCTCCCCACGCGCTCCCAAGGCTGTGGGTTCAGATGAGCCGAAGAGACGGAAAGAAAGGGATGGGAGTGGGGCCAGGCCACGGCCCCCAGGAGGCGGGGCTGCAGGCGCGCGGCATCATAACAGCCTGTGGTGGCAGCTGCCGGATGCTGTGCAGTACTGGCTTCCCCTACCCTCAGCAGCAGAGCCCTGAATTTCCTCCAGGCTGCTGTGTGTCCGGCCCAAAGGTGACACTTCCCAGCCTCTCCTGCAGCAGGGACAGCGCGCGACTAGGTCTGCCTGGTGGATGGGAAGCGTGAATGTGGGTGGAGTGTCTGGGAAACTGCCGCTAAAAGACAGGGTCATGCCCGACCTCCCCGCTCTCTTGTCGGTGCCTGGAATGTGGCGGTGATGCCGGGGCTCCCGCAGCCATTTTGGACCACGAGGCAAGAGGTGACCTTGAGGAAGGAAGCAGGTGTTGGCCTGCTGACCGTGCAGCTGCCGTGCTGGCCTGGCCCGCCCGCCGCGGACCCCATCTGACAGGAAGCAGCCGCCACCTGGTTGAAGCTGTGGTCGTTTTCCCCACAATCAACTCGATGGCAGTGGGGCTGGTTTGCTTTACACGCAGCTGAGCAGTCCTCCCAGACAGTGCTTCAGGGAAGAAGAGCCAAGTGCACTGAGCTCCGTGCTGCTGCTTATTTCTGAGAGAGGACTAGGCGGGGAGGGGCAGAGGCCCGCCCCGCAGCCAGCAGGGCACAGAAGCCAGCTGGCCTGGGTGTAGGGCTGCAGGCTGGGAGCAGAGAAGGAAACTGAGCCTGGCGTCTCAGAAGGGAGCCCGGGGAGGTGCAAACAGGTAATAACTCGGCTGCTAACTGAACGGCTGGGGGTTCGAGTCCACCCAGGGCGCCTAAGAAAAACATCTGGTGACTACTTCCAAAAAACCAGCCACTGAAAGCCCTGTGGACGGAGCACATGGAGGGAAGGACACAGGCAAGAGGTGACTGTCGGGAGGACGGGGAGGGGAGCTGTTGCATTGTGGGAAATTGCACTCAGCGTCATGAGACAAAGTGTAGGTGAACTGCTGCGTGGAAAGTGAATTTGCTCTGTAAACTTTCACCCAAATCACAACTAAACAAAACAAAAACCCCCCTGTGGAGCCCAGTTCTACTCTGACACACGTGGGGTTGCCGAGAGTCCGAAGTGAGTCCCTGGGGACTGGTTTTTGGTCCATCAAGGGGCCTCCAGTTCGCCCCCCTGCTCCTTGACAAGCTCTGCTCGGGGCTGGGTCTCCCTTCCTGTCGGCCCCTCCACACTGCCCACCTACCCTTAAAACCAACCAAACTCACTGCTGTCAATTTGGACCGACTCACAGTGACCCCTCTTTGGGTTTCTGAGGCAGTATCACTATGGAAGTAGATTGGCCCAACCTTCCTTCCAGGGAGTGGCAGGTGGGTTTGAACTGCCAGCCTTCTGGTTATCAGTTAGATGCCTTAGGAACTACGCCACCAGAGCTCCCTCACCTCGCAACAAGCAATGGTACCTTCCTTTCCTGCATTCACTCAAACCAAAAACCAAACTCACTTCCATTGAGTAGATTCCAACTCACAGTGACCCCTGCTGGGTTTCTGGGGTGGTAAATATTTATGGAAGTAGATCGCTCCATCTTCCCAGTCACTAAACTCATTGCCGTCAAGTCAATCCGACTCATAGCGACCCCATCCTTGGGTTTCTGAGGCAGTATCACTATGGAAGTAGATTGCCCAACCTTCCTTCTGAGGAGTGGCTGGTGGGTTTGAACTGCCAGCCTTCTGGTTAGCAGCCAAATGCCTTAGGCACTACGCCATCACCCACCCCAAATGCCTGGGAAGTTGCCTGCAGACGAGAACAGACCTCACCTACTTCCCACTCTTCTTTCACAAAGTCTGAAGGGGACTCCCTGGCCAGGCACCTTACTGCACCCCAAAGAGATGTACATTTGAGAGCTGCTGCAACATCTCTGTCGTACTGGGGGTGCACCCCCGAGGGGCTCAGGGTTGGAAATACTTCCCAGGATGGCCTAGGCTCTGCTTGGCTGGGTGTGGCCTGGACGCGGCCTCACTGTGCGCGTCTGGCTGAGTGTCCCTGTGCAGGCCCCGGGAATCCTGACGAGCACTGGGGTGGGCCTGGGCCCCACTGTGTGCTGCAGCCCTCTGTGCTGTGGGCTGGGAAGGCAGTGCAGCCCTACTGTGTGCTGTGACCTCACTGTGTACCATGGGGCTGGGTGTCTCTCTGTGCAGGCCCTGGGAGGCCCGCCGAGCCTTAGAGGCACTCTTCCGAGCACACGGTGAGGCATGCCGGGCCTCGGTGAGCTCGAACCTACCGGCCTGCCCTCGCACCCCAGCTGCTGTTACTCTTCCAGGCTTACAGTTTAAAGAAAGGCCTGGTACTAGTTTAGTTTTCAGGCTTTTAGTCTGAAGCAGATACCTGTGAGCAGTGTGTTTTGCTAAGTGCACCTGTAGCCTTTTGCTGGTCTCCGCACATGTCCTGACTGAGACTGTTTCCTGAGTGAAGCGTGGCCTCTGCCTGGTGCTCTGAATGGCGACAGTGCTCGCAACCACACTGGCTGGGGGGTGGGGCGGGGAGTGGGGGAGGTGGGCACAAACCTGCCAGTTCAAGGGCGTTCATGTCAACACCCTGGACGGTGGCCTGTCCCTACTGTGGATGCCACACACTACAGGGGACGGAAGGTGATGCTGAGTCCCGAGGGGCCGCTGGGTGAGGAGGCCTGGCTGCTGGGAATGGCAAGTCGAGGTTCCTGTGCTGGGGGGCAGTTCACAAGAGTTCTTGCCCCCCCACCCGTGTGGGTGCAGTAAAGGCAGGAGGGGTCTGTACGGGTGCGTACTCTGGGCGGACAGCTGAGGTGGGGAGCTGGCTCTGGTCGCACGGAGGGCAGCTGGGGCCCAGAGCAGAGGTGAGGGAGGGACGGACCGGGGCGGAAGGGCTGGGGTCTGTGGCTCTCCTAGTGGCCGTCCCCGAGGCCTACTTTTCCCTTGATGCTGTGGTTGTGTCCTGTGGGGCCTGGAGGTGGGCGCTGGCCACCTGGACTCATGCAAAGAAGGACGGGCCATGCCTGGGGCCTGGCTCGTGGTCCCAGTGTCAGCAGGTGACTGGCTGGCGTGGGCCACGAGGTAGAGCGCCCCATGGGGTCCTAGGAACCTCTGGGGGGTGAGGACCTGGAGAGGGTGAGGCAACGGATGCGGGCCTCGACAAGTTGGGGTCCCAAGGAAGCGAGGTCCAGTGACAGCTGCTCACACCTGGCCTCTTCTGAGGCTTCTGGCCGCCCGCTGGCCGCTGCCCAGGGCCCGGACGCACAGGTGCGCTCACCTTCCTGAAGTCGGCCACGCTCAGGAAGCCCGACCCGGCCCTGTCGTAGGCTTTGAAGGTGCGCCGCATAGGCCGCCAGCAGTGCACGATTCGGGGCTGAATCCGCAGCAAAGCCAAGTGAAAGGAAGCCGTCTCGGGCCCGGCCTCCTTCTGGAAGACAGGAGAGGCTGAGGCAGGGGCTCTGGGGGGCAAGGCGGAGGCAGGCCCTCCCCCTGGGCCCGGCCCAGCCAGGGGGTCCCCAGGAGTGGGCGTCGACTCCAGGGGCAGTTGGCTCCTGCCCCTGCAACCCGGGAAGGAGGAGGGTCTATTTTATGGACTGAGAAATGGAAGCTTGGGGAGGTGGTGAGACGGGATGTGGGCTGACCAGAGCTGTGTACCTCCAACTCACAGGGGGCCCCCCGGCCTCTCAGGCACGCGAGCTGAGGGCCAGGCAGACGCCCGGCCCGTCGCAACACACAGTGAGGGGAAAGACGGAATTTCAACGTGGGTCGTCTAGTAGGTTACTATAATGAAGAGCTTAAAAAATTCTAACAGTTGTAATTATATCTAGTAATCAGACAGTCCCCCCTGTGATTATCTCATTGAGGTGTGATGAGACTGAAAACAAGATGATTGAGCCCCAGTGCGTGTGAACAGCACAGGGTGAACCGTGGGCAGTAAAGGTGACACGTTTTGGGAAAGCTTAATTTCAGCCTGGCACGACAGAGCACAAATTAGTGGGGAAGTAAATTGTCAATTTTTACATCCTTTCGCAGCCCGATGGAAGCCCATCCCACGGCGTCACTGGCTGCCGAGTCTCCCGGTCCATCCGCACCCTTGGTAGAGGACAGAGTGACCTCCACCGGCTCTACTTACGCCAGGTCTGGCTGGAGAGGGGTGCCCGGCTCAGCTCAGTCCCACACATCGACCCGGACCCTGGAGGCCCAGGCAGTGGTACGAGCCACTCTCTTTTCCTCGAAGGGAGGCCTTTCTGCTGTTGCAAGTTGAGAGGAATCCCCCAGATCAGCGGGGCGGATCTCTGCTGGCTTGTCTGGGAGGCCTACGCCTCAGGCCTGCAGCTTAGGTAGAACTTGCGTGTGCAGACCCTGGGCCGGGTCCTGGCCGATGGACCTCACAGCAGCCACCACCCGTCGGCCTGTGGAGGCACGCGTGTGGCTCCGACACTCAGCAGGTCTCAGCGGAGCTTGCAGACTAAGAAGACCAGGCAGAAAGGCCTGGCCATCGCTGTCTGACCAGAGGAGGCACAGGGATGGATGGAGAGGGATTTGCTCTGCTGTGCAGGGCTAAGTCGGGCAGGGGTAAGCTGGGGTCTGACTTGATGGCAGAGGACAATTACACTTAGCAGGTCCTGGCAGCCAGAGGGGAATGAGGACCCTGACAAGGAGCAGGGCCGGGGCCCTGGCATAGCGCTGGTCCCTCTCTCCTAGAAAAGCCACAGAGCCATTTTGCCAATGGGCAGCCTCAATCCATCGTAAGCATCCACTGATGGAAAGGCTGGAGCGCTGTTCCAGCCACGGTGGGGCTTGAGACCGGAGCTGGGGGTGCGGCGTGGGTGCACTGGGGGCGTGCTGGCCCGACCTGCCCATAGCCGGCCCTCCTGGAGGGCTCTCATCCACGGCACTGGGACACCACTGCAGCCCCACGCTCGGGGCACCCGGAGCGGCCTGCTAAGCTCGGGCAGTGTGTCCCTAAGCAGAGGAGGCCCGGGAGGGCGCACCGCAAGCCTTCCTGCAGAGGCCACGGGCCACCTGGCAGATCCCACCTCGAGCACACACTGTCCACCTCATCAGAGCCCGAGACGCTCCCGTCATTCTCAGAGGGAAACAGACTGAGTGGCAGGGGACGGCAGGGCTGGCAGAGCACATCGAGGCTTCTCCCGCACTGTCCCGGGCCCGGGAACATCTGAGGAGGGCGGCTTCTCCTCTGCTCTAGTACCGGAGAACTATCTGTTTTTTGTTTTTCTTGGCCAGGCCCTTGATACTCATTCCTGTTGTCTAAACCAGAAACTGCACTAACATGGTACCCACTGGGCACCAAGTGGTAAGTTCAGCTGTGTGGAGACTTTCAGCACGGGCTCTATCTGCCGGATTAACCCCTCAGTCCCCGCAGACACTGCCTGCTGCCGGAGGGCGGCAAAGCAGGGCAAGGGCAGGCAGGGTGGCTGTCACGTCTGGCTGCACCCTCTGGTCCGGGCTGAGTTGGAGGCGAGTACCATCAGCTGCATTTGTTCCAGATCCATGACACTAGTGCAGCTGTTATTTAATTCAATTTAACATGATTCAGCTACGTTAAGTCTGATGGAACATGAGTGGGGAAGAACATTTCGGGCCGCCTGCTGTAGAGAGATGCCGGAAAGGGGTGAGGACACTGGAACTGGGCGAGTGGGAGATGGAACAGTGACGCTGGCTGAGAACAGAAGGCCTGGGGCCAGACGACCAGGCCTGGAAGCAACTTGTGGCCACTGAAGCATCTGGAGGTTCTTATTCCTCTTCAAAGAAACAGAGCATTATGGATAGGGTGCTGCGGGGGTTGTGCATGCAGGAAAGATGATCAGGAATGCCAGGCTGCCGCTCTGCACCCCAACAAAGGGGCTGGCCCTGCAGCAGCAGGCTCCAACGTATAAACACGTGTGTGTGTTGACATTAACAGCCAGGAGTCCAGCTGACCAATCACCGCTCCCCGTGGCCTTGTGGGCGTGGCCAATATGATGCTTCAGGGTCCCCTCAGCAAGTTTGAGAAGCTGGGACGCAGCCCCCTGGGTCCCAGTCTGGGTCTCTGGACCCTTACCAGTTCCAGAAGGAGAGAAAGCAAGTATCTGAACTGTTTTCAAGGAAGGAAGTAGCTGAGTTGTTTCCAACATCCATTGTCAAAGATGGCGGCCTTCTCTTTACCCACAAGCCCTCACCTCCCTGGCACACGGCGCTGCGGGCTTCGGGCTTAGTCTACAGTCTGGGAGTATTTGCTCTGTTGTGCATGTGGTCACCATAAATGACAAACGAGGCAACGAAGCTCTGCTTGGCCAGTATCATACATGTATCACACATGTACAAGCAGTCCCTGGTGTGAGAGTCTGACTTGTGGACAACGCCCACCCTGCACTGTTGTTAAAGCTGTCCCCACTTTGAGACGACTGAGCCAACCCCCACTCACAACAAATTCTTCATCCCTATCACCTTCAATGCTGAATGTGCAGCTTTTCAATCACTGAAACAGCTTCCATCCTTTTCTTACATGAAAACCACACCCACTGCCCTGGAGTCCATTCTGACCCACAGCGCCCCTAGAGGACAGAGTGGAACTGCCCACAG